TTTTTTTGCGGATGTTCCACCTGGTGACTGAGGTAGAATCTAAGTAAGGTCCCCCGTCCCTCCGGCATGTGATAAAATATTCTGGTAGTGTTACAAGAGCTGGCGCGACGGAGAGGATATATGGTCGTCCGATAATCAGACCGACGGTTACTTCCCCAAAAGCGATTTTCCTGCTGAATCTAACCCCGGCTCCAGTCTGGTCGCAGAGTCCAGGCAGCACCTGAAACTGCTCCTCTTTCGAGTCCGTTAAAAAGTTGTTCGCGCTTGGGGTTTTTCAGTTGTGCCATTCCCCACCTCCTTCCCCTCTTCTGCCAGTAGAGACCTGCCCCGGGGGCTATTTTGTCCTGGGAGCACAAAACTATTTTCTTTTCTGGAAATAAGTTGACGTCAACTGGGAGCTGTTTTTGGTTGCTTTGTTTCCCGGAGCGTCCAACCCAGCACACCGCCTGCGGCAAATCGTGCAAGGCAAAGCCGCCGCTCTCCGGGTGGAGACGCGAGGTGTGTGCGTGGTGGGGGAGGGTGCCCAGGCGCCTGCAGAAAGGGAGTTCTAGGGAGCCAATCCCTCTGGGCCGAAGCCACGGGCCCAGCCCGAAACAACTCGGGCTCTCGGTTCCCCGCGCTCCAGGTGAGGGCCGCCGGGCTAGCAGTCCCTGGTAGGTAACTTGCCTGGCGCCCACCCGCGTTCTCAGCACTCTTGCAAGGCGCCGCCAGACAGTCCTGCGGCCCTAAAACGTGGGAGCATCCCGGGACAAAGGGCCACCCCCGGAAGCGGGCGTGTGCGACTGGTGTGTTCCTACTCGTGCACGCGGGCACATGTGTGCCAGCCACTAAGTTAGCTGCCCACCGCCCGAGTCTGTAGCTTTGGAGGGGGGCGGGGTGGGGAGCTATGAACAACTCTGCCCCCCCCCCAGTGCAGCACCTCTGGGGCAAGTCCCAGGAATGCAACCCCCAGCCCTCGCCCTGTAGGACTGGTCTTCGTGGAGAGCTGGGCGGCTGAGAGCGCGCGCGCGCGCGTGTGTGTGGTGTTTCCCCGAGGAGCCGGAGGAGGCCCGCGAGGCAGGAACTTGCTCGAACTTGTTTCGCATCTGGCACTGCTTACCCCACGCTCTGTGGCGTCCAAGGCCGAGGAGGCCGGCTAGGGCGAGCAGCGATCGCTGTGGAGAAAATTCCACCACCTCCCACTTTGATGTCCGCGTGGCCCCCAGACCTGGTCGCCCTTCCTTCCTTCCCTTCCTTTTTTAAAATTACAAATTGATGGATGGGTTTCTGTTGATGTGTAACATGATAAACCGCCCTGAAAGCAAGGCGGGAGGGACAGGGAAGGGGCACCGGGCCGTCCCCCTGGACGCCCCTAGCCGAACTGCCCACGCTGCGGACTTGGAGGCAAACTCGAGGGCGCACTCCAGGAGCTGGTGAGGCGGCCGCCCTGGAGGGCAACCTGGCACACCCAAGCACTTCTGGGACCCCAACCCCACCCCTCGGCCCTGGGATTTGGACTGGTCGGCGCGCCAGGGGACACTTGGGCTGTTCCAGAAGGACAAAGTTAGGATGCAGTGCGAGCTCTGGAGGCTGCACAGGGTGCGCGGCCGGGGAGAACTGCCCAGGTTTGGGGCGGCATTGGGGCGCTGCCTCTGGCCCGGAAGAAGGGGGATGGGTGGTGACGCGAGGACGCGCCCAGAGCCTGGGCGGACCAGGGTCGGGCGTTTGGCTGGAAGTGGGACAGCATCTCCTATGGGAAAGCGGGACCCGGCGAGCTCTTTGGCTGTCTTTCCAGTTTCCGAGGTGCCCGCCCCCGCGCGCGCCCGGAGGGCGAACGAAAGGCGGTTGGCAAACGTGGAGAGAGGGCGCGCTGGGGTTCCGAATTGACGGAATGGTGGTGGCGGCGGCGGTGGGGGTGGCCGAAAGCCAAGTTCACTTTTTCCACCCGCCGCTACTGGGCCTTAGGGACCTGTGCGGCGCGCGCTCCTAGTTGGTGGACCGCCCCGCCTGAGGAAGGGGTGTCACGATGCTCCGAGGCAGGGCGGAGACAGCCTGGGCCCGCGGGGAGGGGGTCCCTGGAGTTCCGAGGGCCCCGTCCCGAGTCTCCCCTCCCAACTACCCCTCCCAAGCTTTCTTCCTTTCTTACTCCTTCCCGGGGCTGGCTAGACCGGCGCGGACTTGCCCCAGACCTACGGGGAGCGCCCCAGGTCTTTAATGACAGCTTAAAAGTGGCAGTTGGAAAACTAAAGGGATGAGGCTGGCGTGGGGCGTGTTTCGCTCCTTCACAAGAGTCGGAATGGGAGCGGGGAGCCGCGCTTCTGGCCCCAGGCCCCTTCGCCTCGCCGCCAGCAAGTAGGTGGGGAGCCGCCGCCAGCCCCGTCCTGCTCCCGAGCCTCGCCCGCTGCGCCCTGGCCGCCGGCGCAGAGAGGGTGCAGGGCCCTGCGCGCCTCCTCCAGCCGGCTCAGTAACCTGACTGCGCCGCTGCGCTCCGGGCGGCTCCAGCCCCGGCTCTTCAGAGCAGCGGCACCCGCGGCCGCCCCGATCCCCCGGCCCCGGGGGGGCGATGAGGGGGCGGTGGAAGGGGCACTGCTGCTCCGGCATCACTTAGAAAAGCGGGACCGCCCCGCCCTCCCGCTCCCGCCCGGGCCCGCGCGCCGCTCCGCCGGAGGGTAAGTTGGGAGTGCTTCGCCCCCACTGACAGCTCTCCCTCCCCTAGCTTTTTTACTCCAAAGTTTTCTTAGAAGTGGGGGAGCGGGGTGGAGTGGGGGAGGAAGAAAGTCCGGCCAGCCTCCGTCCTTTCCCTCCTCGCGGTCTCCCTTTATCCCCACCTCCCCTCCCCTGCACCCCCCGCGCGCCGCGGCCCCTCCGGAGCTGCGCTGGGGAATGACAATTGGAGCGCGGCTCCTTTAAGAGCCCGGCTTTGCCTCCCGGTAGCTGAAGGTCATTAAACACAAAAGCTCTCAGCGCTGCGGTCCAATATAGCGCATGCGCCCTGCCCGAGGACTGGCAGAGAGACGGCAATATGGCGAGAATGCCTGGCAGCGGGGACTGTAACACCAGCGCGGGCGGCAGCAGCGCCGCGGCCGCCGCGGCCGCCGCCGAGAACAATGGGGAGCGGGGCGAGGGCGAGCGCGGCGCGGGGCCCCGGGGCCGCCGGCACGGGCGGCCGCACTACTGCAGCGCGGGCGAGGAGGAGGAGGAAGAGGAGGAGGAGGAGGACGAGATCCAGGAGGTGCAGATAACGGGGGACGAGGAGGAGGAGGACGGAGGCGGGGGGCTGGAGGAGGACGAGGAGGAGATGGGGCTGGACTGGGACGAGCCCCTGGAGCCCGAGGACTCGGCCGGGGAGGAGCTGGAGCCCGAGCCGGTCCGTAGGATCCATATGGACCAGGGCGCCGCGCTGGAGCCCGAGGCGCCGCCGCGACTGCTTGCGCCCCGGGCGCGCGGCGGGCCGCCCGGCGACGGCGCAGAGCTGGACTCCGACGGGCTGCAGCGCCCCGAGCGGGCCCGGCTGAGCGAGAACACCCGGCTGGCCACCCGCTATGCCGTGCGCATCTTCCGGGAGTACCTGAGCGAGAAGGCGCAGAGCCCGGACTTCGAGACCATGGACAAGGGGGCGCTGTGCCGCGTGCTGCGCTCCTTCTACGCCGAGGCCCGCTCCAAGAGCGGCCAGCTGTACAGCAAGTCGTCGCTCATCAGCATCCGCAGCTCGCTCAACCGCTACCTCAATGAGCCCCCGTACTGCCGCACGCTCGACCTCACGAAGGACCCCGAGCTGCGCAGCGCCAACCTGACGCTGGCTGCGGTCATCCGCAAGCTGGAAGAGCAGGGCGCTGGGCCGGTGGTGCAGAAGCAAGCCATCACGCGCGCCGACCTGCGCAAGCTCTACACCTCCAGCGTCTTCAGTACCAACACACCCTTCGGGCTGCTCAACAAGGTCTGGTTCGAGACGTGCATGTACTTCTGCACGCGCGGCCGCGAGAACCAGCGCGAGCTAGAGGAGGACTCCTTTGGGCTGGCCATGGACGAGGACGGGCGCAAGTTCGTCTACTTCAAGTCCCTCGGGCCCTACCACAAGTCGCGCTCGTCGTCCTGGAGCAAGAAGCGCGCGGAGAGCAGCGACGAAGAGAACCTGCCTCGCATGTACGAGACGGGCACCGAGTTCTGCCCCTACGCCAGCTTCGTGAAGTACCTGTCCAAGCGCAATCCCCTCTGCAAGGCGTTCTTCCAGCGGCCCCGGGACCACTGCAGCGAGGGCGATGTGACCTGGTACGAGAACAAAGCCATCGGCAAGAACTTGCTGGGCACCAGGATGCAGATGCTGTCCAAGGCGGCCAAGCTGTCCAAGACCTACACCAACCACTGCATCGGCGCCGTCTCCATCGCCACGCTCAACAGCATCGCAGGCATCGGCACCAAGCTGGGCTCGCCCACCCCGCAGGGCTGCTACGCAGAAGCTATGAACGGGGCGGCCCGCCACCCCTCCCACCACCCCCACACCCATCCCTCCCGCCACCACCGCCCCCAGCCGCCCTCGCTGGGGAACACATACATACTCCCCAAAGACAGCCAGGTCGGGCCCGACGTGAAATCCGAGGCTGCGCCCAAGCGCGCCCTGTACGAGTCAGTGTTCGGGTCCCGGGAAATCTGCGGTCCCTCTTCCCCCAAAAGACTTTGTATTCGCCCCTCGGAGCCTGTGGATGCGGTGGTGGTGGTTTCCGTGAAACACGACCCCCTGCCTCTCCTTCCAGAAGCCAATGGGCACCGAAGCACCCATTCTCCCACCATAGTTTCACCTGCTATTGTTTCCCCTGCCCAGGTAACCGAACCAACCTCTATGCATGAAATATTTCTCTGGTACCACTTCGGGTCTAACTTGGGGGCTAATGGTGGGGGGGGGAGGAAGTTTTGAAAAGTAGCCGCTGTCCTGCATCCAATTGGACTTCACCTTTAAAAGCTTAACTCTCTTCACATTTCTGGGGAAACTTCACACCTAACCTTAAAAGATGAGTGAGGGAAAGCTACCTAACAAAGCACTGCATGCAGCAACGCTAGAAACTTCGAAGTTGACAGAACAAAAGGATTAGCTCGCTCTTGCAGTTCCTCGTCATTAAAGTTGTGAGTTTTATGAGGTCAAGAGTGTGGGACCGCTGTACATATATAAAGGAACCAGCAACTTAAAACACATTTGAAGAAAGTTACCGTTAAAATACTCCATTACACATTCGCTATAACTTACTGAGGCAGAAAAAGTTATAAATTACTAAAAGGAAAATATGCCAATTCCACTTCCTGTAACTTCTTTTTAAGAAAAGGGGCGGGGACTGGAGAGAAAGGCAGTTGAGTACCAGTTTACAGAGGTGCTTTAATGGAAAGTGACCTTTGGGGTGCAGTTTCTAGAAACTCACATCGTTTATTAATCTCTTGTCAGGCTACCCATGAGTGCAGTGTGAGATGCCTGGCTTGCTGTGAGCCTGGAACATTCCTGTCTGTCAGGCCCCTGCGTAGTGCCTGTTGTGGGGCAGGCAAGGAAGAGGGACAGAGTGGCAGGACAGTCAACCCCAGCCCAGATGCTAGGAGCTCATTTGAACAAATTAGTTCATCTCTCTGAGCTCCAGGTGTCCTCATCAAAGATGAGGGACCCGTGGCCACCCTAAAATTACTTGCTGCTGAAAAGTACCAACGTCTAGATTGAGGCTGGGGCCTGAAGTGTTAGATGTTGCTTCCCTTGTTATTTTACCTCAGGGGATATACGGGTATTCTAGTTGTGTTCATTTTGAAGCAAGACGCTTTTCTAGAAGTTAGAGTCAAGAATTCTCTGGAGACCCTGTTCTGCAGGCATAAGTCACCTCGGATGGTTTTAGCTCTTTGACCTCCCTGCTGTCAGGCAGAAGTAGGAATTTTGGCCCTAAAGCTGGAGTGTGGTGCAGGACCTTAAGGGACAGATGTTAGGCACCTCTGTGCTTTCTCCAAAGTGGAAATTCTGGTTCTGGGCAGATTGACCCTTTCAGGGGCTCATAGCTAATCAGCAAGACTTGAGGCCAACAGAAAAGGGGCTGTGGATGGAATATAAACAGCACAGTTCTCTAAAATACCCACGACCCGTATGCTGAGTGTCTTTCAGTGCTTCTGGTGTGTGGAGCACAATTCTGACAAGTTGTTTTATTAGAGTTTTAAGGATGGAGAGGAGAGTTTGGGTTCGCTTCTTCCTTGAAAGCACAAGTAAATATTCACATTCTTCTGATAAAGTAAAAATTGTGAAAGTACCCTGGGTTAGAATCATGCCTTATTCATAAGAAGTTTAAAACCTAAGGAGTTTTTTAAAGCATATATGCACTTGGAATAATAATGGAGCAGTTTGCTAGTGGCATCTGTCTACTAGTTTTCCAGGACTAGTATCACGTAGAATCGTGACTTAAAGATCCACAAAGCATTTTAAGTACCCCTCCCCATTGCTTTCATTTTGCTCTAAGTTCAATTCCATAGTCACAGGTCTTCTGCTTATGAATGAGATCAATCTGTTCTATGACACTGTATACAAAAATCTGGGAAGGGGCTGGGGAGATGGCTCAGTAGAATAAGCATTTCCCTGGCAAGCCCAAGGACCTGAGTTCAATCCCTGGTTCCGCAAAACAAACAAACAAACAAACAAAAACAAAACAAAACTGGTTGTTGCTTATGTAATTGTTGTGGCTCTTAAACAAGATCATGTCTTTAGGTCTCTTTTGGTTAAAACATTATAAAAAATTATTCTACATGCACTTTTTTTTTTCAGTGCTGAGAACTGAGCCCAGGGCCTTGCATATACTGTACCACTGAACTGTACCCTCCACCCTATGTGCACATATTTAAGAGTTAGCTTTTTAATATGGCCTAGTAAACATTACGTAAGTTCACTTCAGATACCGAGGAGAACTCTTTACTAACTTCTGTAGAACTCACAGTATGAAGTCTAGGTGATCTATGTATAAGACAGATGTTTAGTTTAACTCAAAAGCTGATATTAAACTTTATTAAAATCACTCTACTGATTGAAGTCCAGGGCATTTCCCAGGGATTAGTGATTGGCTGGGGTTACTGGCCAGTGACATTGCTTAAAGCCATCTACTCATCTGTCTGGCCGTTAATCCCCAGGAAATGCCCTCTATGCCTCAGGCTTCAGTCATTATTTCTTAATTATAAATATGGTGCGCTAACCTTAATCCAGATAGCACTCATCACTGCACTGTTGACATATTATTATGGACTTCATTATAACACAGGGTCACACCCTAATACTCTGACTCTTTGCTAAATGTTGTAGTTTCCTAAAAGATGAAGAACCTGCTACTTTAAATGAATTCACACACAGGGAACTACGTCCCAGGACATCCCCGGTGGATGGCAGCAGCCTTGAATAGTACTAAGCCCCATACATCCTGGTTTTCCCTAGACACACCTACCTATGCTAAAGTTTGCTTTATAAATTAGGTGCAATAAAATTTAACAGTACATTAATGATAAAGTAGAACAATTGCAACCATATACTGTCGTGAAAGTTATTTAGAGCTGATGAATTGGATATTTCTGGAAGTTTGCATTTTCAGACACCACTGAACTTGGAGAGTGAAGCCATTAGGGAGGATCAGTGGACTGTTTGCTGTTTCTTGAGGTTGTTAATGAGTGATCATTTGTAGGAATGGCTGACTAGCAAAGGCACTTAAGGATGAACAGAGATTATGGAATTTGTGGTTTGTCTTTTTTTTTTTTTTTTTTTCACTCTTAGGAAGTATCTGGTTTGGGAGCCAAGAGATTCTTGTTAGGATGACTGCTTGAAGTGGTTCACTCTTTGATTCTCTGGAATGGTTCTGTTAGAAGTAAAGGTACTTGTACTTCCCTTTTCCCTCTTAGAGATGTTAGATGATCCATTTATTGGTATGGCTTGCCAGCACCCAGGGAGTAATTACATGGTCCACGTAATTTCAGTTTTGGTTTATTTCCTTTAGTGTGGGGACTTGAACCCAAGGCATTATACTCACTCTCCCTACTGAAGTATACCCCAGCTCCTGCGCTGCTTTGAAACCTGCATTTTCATAGCCTTCCTCTTTGTATGAAAACACAGCATTTTTCCTGCCTCAAAGAAGAAGACTTCAATTGGATGAGAGAGATTTGCAGTTGTATTGTTCATCATTCATAGGAAAAATACAGATAGAAGTTTAGAGTCTGCATGTAATAGTGTGGCTTCAGTTTCTGCGGATTGTAGCTCTCTCCAATATCAAACAAAAATGTGAAAATTAGCTCATTATAAAATGGACTTAGGAGCTAGGAATGTAGCTGAGTGGTAAGAATGTACATGGCATGCATGAGGCCCTAGATGAGAGAGAGAGAGAGAGAGAGAGAGAGAGAGAGAGAGAGAGAGAGAGAAAGAGAGAGAGAACGAACAGCAAGCAAAACTTAGGAACACTTGTGAGCTGTGACAAGGGTTTCTGGTTTCACTTGCTTGATCCTAACCTAGATTTTTTCTGGATATACTTTTAAGGAATTTTGTAAGTAGGAAAGCTATTAGTGAAAAGATGATTCTGGTGGCATGTACCTGCTCTTCCTGGTTGCCTGGTCTCCTTGTGGCCACATTGGTCCCTGCAGAGTCCTAGATGTGAGAGTAGCCCGCCAGCAGATGCACACAGCGTTTCTGTAACTTCAGAAAGCACCCAGAGGACACAGTGCTGAGAACCAAGTGTTCACTTAGGTACTGTAGTGGGAAGGAAGAAAGAGCATTTGATTTATGTAGTTAATAGGAAAAAACATGCATTTGGGGTATTATTGAAACAATTGCTATTGTTCTAGTTTGAATTTGCAAACTTTTTTCAGTTAAAGGTAGAATCAGATTTCCATAAATGTGAAAGGAATAATTGTGCCAAGATTTCTATGCAGTGTTATTTGGAATTGTTTAATTAACTACCTTGTTTAAAATAGATATTTTTCTGATATTTAATACTAGTTTGTGACTGCATTCCTCCATCTAAAGCAAAATGATTGCTCTCATTTATTAATTTAACTAATTTATTTATTTTTAGTGGTACCAGGGATCGAACTTAGGGCCTTGCACTTGTCAGGCAAACACTTATTCCGTTGAGCTATCTCCCTGGCCCCAATTATTCTCTTTTAAAAATTTCCATTGATGGGAGAACTAAATGTCTTATACATAAATATATAGCTTTGTTCATTCATTCAGAAAATAGTTACCGAGTACCTACTATTTTGGCTTTTGTACTAGGAACCTATAAATTAATCAATTTCTACTTGGCAAGTATTTTCATTGTCAAGATTTTGGCTTCGTTACATATTAAAAGTAGATCAAAATAGAGGAAGCTAAAACGTGTATTATTTTCTAAATCTACCTTGAGTGCCAATTCACCCTGTATTGAAGCTAATGTACAAAATGTTTTAAAAAAATATATTTGCTTCCAAACAAGAAGATGAGTCCTACTGTATTTATCCAAAATGTAAATCTTTCCTTGGCCCTGATTTTAAAATCAGGCTAGCCACGTGAATGTCACCTAAAGGCCACCCTCTTATCATTGCCAAGTAGAACTGGAATCAGAGAGAAGATTTTTTTTAAAGAGGACTTGTAGTTACCTGTGAGATGGAGGAGATAGGCGGTGCTTGCCCGGCCCGTGCCAGCCCAAAAGCCCCACCTCGGGTCTGTAGGGAAAACTGGGCTTCAGGTTCCCTTTTGGTGTCTGAGGCTGCTCCCCTTTGAGAAGCAGAGCTGATACTGGAGGATCTGTGTGGCAGTATTAAAGAAATCTTAGGAAGAAACACGTAATCTAGTAATCTGTA